GAGCCACCGCAGCGGCCAGGGGCAGGGGCCCAGGAGGCCCCGTAGCCCCGAGGAAGGAAGCCGTGGGCACTTGGGGGCACAGATCGAAAGGGAGGCGCACAGAGGCCCAGCTCGGGGAGGACGGGCTCCCCAGCAGGTCACCTCGTGGGCGGGGGAGTGACGGGACGGGGTGCAGAGCTGAGGGGGGCGGAGCCACGGGAGCTCAGAGCAGGGGCTCGGGGGCTGAGACCCCGGCCGGGAAGGGGCCGCTGGTGGACGCAGAGAGAGGTGGCTGCAGGGGTCCTGGAGGGCCTGTGCCCGCCCTCCCCACCTGTCTCCCTGAGCACCGGGCCCACAGGGCCCCCTCTGGACGGAGCCCAGAACTGGGGTCTGGGAGCGGGGGGTGGGGTGGGGAGGGCAATTCTGTGTGTCCAGGTCCTGTCACCCCAGCCCTCGGCACCCCCTCCCCAGCCCCTGGAGTCCTACAGCAGATCCCATCAAAGCCCCATCCACCGCTCACCAGCGCCACCCCCTCTGAGCGCCAGCCCCCTGATGAAGAGGAGGAGCAGCGGGGTGAGGGTGGGGGAGGAGACGGTACAGGAGAGGCCTGGGCTCCGGGCCAGCCTGGCCGGTAGGTGGCTGGGCTGTGGTTGGGGTCCCAGGGTCAGTGGGAGCACGAGGACCTTCGGGCAGAGCGCTCCCTGGGATCCTGGCTCCTTGTCAGTCCCAGAAGAGGGGCGAGGATGCCAGGAAGTCCCCCAGGTTCCCGGCCTCCAGGGCCCCTGCTGGCACCCAGCGGCAGGAAGTGAGTCATCCCCGCTCAGGACCGAGGGAGGACGTGGCCCGGCTGGCTGCGGCCCACTGACTGCAAGGGGCAGTCCGTCACCCCAACAGGACCAGGCTGGCCACCCACCTCCAGGGCAGCAGGGAGGGGACAGAGGATGGACAGAGGGACTGGCCTCCCCGTACCCTCCCCCACACCCCAATGTGCTTCTCCCAACCCACCTTTACAGCGAGAACAGCAAGGCCTTCACTCCCTGACTCAGAGGAGGGGCGAGAGGAAGCAGGGGACAGAAATGGGGGGCGGGGGGCGGGCCCATTGAAGGAGTTTAACGAAGCAGATGAGTTCCTTCTCCACCCGCCGCTGTCCCCCGAGAATGGAAAGTACACCCTCACACGCTATGTAATGCGTCCTGTGTCATTTCGGTGATCTCACGTGTGCACCGGGATCTGAGGTGGCAGGACCGGGACACACAGAATTGCCCTCCCCACCCCACCCCCCGCTCCCAGACCCCAGTTCTGGGCTCCGTCCAGAGGGGGCCCTGTGGGCCCGGTGCTCAGGGAGACAGGTGGGGAGGGCGGGCACAGGCCCTCCAGGACCCCTGTGTCCACCAGCGGCCCCTTCCCGGCCGGGGTCTCAGCCCCCGAGCCCCTGCTCTGAGCTCCCGTGGCTCCGCCCCCCTCAGCTCTGCACCCCGTCCCGTCACATCACTCCCCCGCCCACGAGGTGACCTGCTGGGGAGCCCGTCCTCCCCGAGCTGGGCCTCTGTGCGCCTCCCTTTCGATCTGTGCCCCCAAGTGCCCACGGCTTCCTTCCTCGGGGCTACGGGGCCTCCTGGGCCCCTGCCCCTGGCCGCTGCGGTGGCTCCGGGCACGTGGCTCTGACCGCTTTGTTCATGGGTTTCCTCACAGGGCACGGGGCCGGGAGGCGCTGGCCTTGACCGTGAGCCAGAGCTGCCACGCCAGCCGCCCTCGCTCTGGCCCAGCCCCGGCTCCTGGTGTGGAGCGGGGACCCGGACCATCCGCCCAGGGCGGCCGCGGGGGGTGGCAGCCGGTCCTCTCCGGCTGGTCCTCTCCTCTCGGCAGCACGGATCATAGGGCCTCTCCCTTCGCCTGCTTTGTAACAAATGGAGGGACATTCACAGCCGGATGCTAACATGGAGAGCCCAGAGTTCGGTGTCATTTAGGACAGTCACCATGCTGCACCCCATCCTCTCTCTCTGGTGCCCAGACACCGTCAGCACCCCCAGAGGAGACCCCACACCCCAGAAGCGGCCTCTCCCGCGGCTGCAGCCCCTGGCAGCCCCGATCTGCCTCGTGTCTGGGGATTTGCTGGTTCTGGGGATGTCATCCTCATATAGTCAGGAGGCCTTTGGGGTCTGGCACTGTACACATGGTGTGAGTGAGACCGTGTCCCGCCAGTGAAGCTCAGGTCCGCAGGGCACGGAGGAAGCCAGGCTGCTGAGTGCAGAAGCCCTGCACCCGCACCCGCACCCGCACACCAGGAAAGGGCCCTGGGCAGCCTCCGAGGAGAAGGGCAAGAGCCACCAAGGAAGCAAAGAAGGGACACTCCGGGCAGAGATGGCAGCACCTGCGTGGGGCCGGAGCCATGTGCCATCCTGCTGAATTCAGGAGCGTGAGCTGGTTCCGTGGGGCTAACGCTTCGGGGCGGGGCTGGAAGTTGGAGCGGCCAGAGGGCAGAGAGGCAGGTTCTTGGCGCCACACAAAGGGGCCCTGGCTCAGGGGGAGCGGCCTGGGTTCTGCAGGAGCAGCGTGGTCCCTCCTCTTCCTCTGAGCGAGCTGGGCGGGCTGAAGCTGGAGCCCGGGCAGGGCTGAGCCTGCAGGCCCCAGGCGAGCAGACCGAACAGGAGCGGGATAATGAGTCAGTGGCTGCCAAGATTTTGCAGGGAGGGTTCAGCCAACTTTTCTTTCGTACAAAGATATGGTGATCCAGACGTTAATGAGTGTGAGGTGTTACTGCATCCATAAGGATTCCCTTTGGAAACGATTCCCACCCAGGCTCTGCCCCAAACAAGGCACTGGCCCAGTAGGGGCTACTCCCAGGCATAGGTTGTGTGACTTGTCCACTTCTCCCTAAAAGTGAACAGCCAGCTGGGTAGACATCTGAGAAAAGAGTGGGTGTAGCTGGATGAGTGGGTGGGTGGATAGGTGTAGAAATTTAAAGAGAGATGCAGGGATGGATGGATGGATGGATGGATGGATGGATGATTGGGTAAGTGGATATAGGGATGGATGGATGGATGGATGGATGGATGGATGGATGGATGATTGGGTGAGTGGATGTAGGGATGGATGGATGGATGGATGGATGAATAAATGGATGGAAGGATGGATTCAAGGATGGATGGATGGATGTTTGATGGATGACTGGATGGATGGATGGATGAATGACTGGATGAGTGGATGTAGGGATGGATGGATGGATGGATGGATGGATGGATGGATTCAAGGATGGATGGATGTTTGATGGATGGATGGATGACTGGATGGATGGGTGTTTGATGATGGATGAATGACTGGATGAGTAGATGTAGGGATGGATGGGTGATAGATGGATGCAGGGATGGATGGATGGATGGGTGGGTGGATGGATAAATGGATTGATGGGTAGTGGGTGACTGGGTAGATACAAGTGTAGGTAGTAATTGTTTTATATTATAAAGATTCTTTAGCTGATAGGATGCAACACAATGACACTTGGATGGAAGAAAGGCAAGGCTTTCTGTTGCTTTGGTTCCAAATGAGAGAAGCTTCCAGGCAGAACCACATAAGGGGATGCACCCTGGAGCAGGGGAACAGCAAGCTGCAGGGAGCAGCTCACGTCCTGGAATCAGCCAGGCTTCTGGGGCTCCCTGTGGGTTGGCCAATTGGAATAATTTTGTGAGGTCCTGGGTATAAGGGCTATCCATGCCATTTAGGGCCAATAGGGTGTTCCAACTCACAGACCGAGATCCCAAGCCTCCAGGTAAGCCTTTCTGTGGCTCAGTGATGACGGAGTCAGATTTCAGTACTTGGATGGGAGAAGTCCCGGAGCAGCCTGGGTCTGCCCCTCCCGTCGCTCCCAGCTCCTCCATGCCCACTTTAGTCCTTCTCTTTTGAAGGAAAGGTTGTAAGAGTTTCTTTCTTTTTAAAAATATGTTTATTGATTTCAGAGAGAGGAAGGGAGAGAGACAAAAACATCTATGATGAGAGAATCATTGATCGGCTGCCACCTGCATGCCCCATAGTGGGGATTCAGCTTGCAACCCAGGCATGTGCCCTGACTGTGACCTCCTGGTTCATAGGTCAATGCTCCACCCTGAGACACTCCTAAGGGCTCCTAACCGGTCTGGCTCAGTGGATAGAGCGTCGGCCTGCGGACTGAAGGGTCCCAGGTTCGATTCTGGCCAAGGGCATGTACCTTGGTTGTGGGCACATCCCCAGTAGGGGGTGTGCAGGAGGCAGCTGATAGATGTTTTTCTTTCATTGATGTTTCTAACTCTCTATCCCTCTCCCTTCCTGTCTGTAACAAATTAATAAAATATTTTTTTAAAGAGCTTCTTACAAAAAAAAGTTTGAATTTCCCTTTGCTTTGCAGTTTCTCTGCTTCCCGGAGTAATCAGTGCTGGGAATTGTCTGCAAGTCTCCGGAGAGAAGCTGAGCCAGCCTGTCAGTGGAGCAGGGCGGGGGACCTCCGGGGGTGGGGAAGTTGCCAGAAAACAGAGCAGGACAGGCGTTCAGCCTCAGAACACGCTCCTGGGTCTGTGCTGCCCTCGCCCTGCGGGAGGCACATGCCGCATAAAAACCATCCAACTGCCCTGCCCACCTGGCCACCTCCTGTTTACACCTCAGCTCCGGCACGGAACAGCCTGCAGGGACCGCCGTGAAAGCAATCAGTGCTGTGCTCACTCACGGAGGCGCCCGAGGCTAGAGCACGCCTGGGCTCTCCCCCACGCTGCCACCAGCCACACCTCTGATCTCATTTTGCTGCAAAGGGGGCCCGTGGAGGGGGTAAAACACAGACTGGGCCACGGGGCCTGGGCTCCTGGAGGCCCAGGAGGGAATGCATCATGCAGCGGCGAGCGGCCAGGGCTTAGGGAAGGGGCTGACTCAGAGCCAGACACCTTTCCGGGCGAAGTCCAAGGCTGCCCTCAGGCTCCCTGGGAGGGTGGCCATGGCCCATCCAGGGAACCCTCCGTGGCCGACCTGGAAAGTCTTCCCCGGAGCTCACCGAGCTCTCGGAGCGAGCGCCCCGTCCCACCTAGCCCGGGACGCGGGTTTGGGAACTGCAGCCAGCCGGGCTCAGAGGCCGGTTGGGCGGGCGGCGGGGCTGGGCCGGAGTGGGGGGAGGAAGTGCCCAGGGGGCGGTGACGTCACAGCCCAGCCCTTGAAAGATGAGCTGTTCCTGCCAGCTCTCCAGCTCCCCTGCAGCACCTCCGAGCGGAGGGGACCGCGGGCACCCCTGCCCGACGCCGGACCAGGGAGCGACCGCCCGAGGTGCCCGCGCAGCTCCCGCCGGACGAGGTGGGTGCCCGCCCGGCGCCGGTCCGACGCCGCAGTGCCTGGGCTGGGAGGGCAGCAGCCCAGCCCGGAGGGAAGGGGCGGGTGGGCGGCGCAGGGGCTGATTTTTGGGCAAGCTCCCTTCCCGCCCCGTCCGGTCCCAGTCCCCAGAAGTGACAAGAAGGGCTTCCAGCCAGAGGAGTCGCTTGTTTGCCTTGGGCTTGCCTTCTTCCTGAATCAGGGTGCCAGGCGGCACATGTGTGCTTGTGTGTGCTTGTGTGTGTGTGCCTGTGTGAGCCGTGTAGGACGGCCTCGATTGATTTTTGCTCTCCGGGGTGCCTTGGACAGAGAGCTTCAGCCCAGAAGGTGCGGCGGGGGTGGGGGCTGCCGCTCGCTGGCCCTGAGTGACCTGGGACGCATTGCCCACCCTCTCTGAGCCTCGGTTTCCCCGTGTGCAGCACGCTCTGCTGGCATGCTGCCCGGGCGGGCCGCAGGGTGTGATCAGGGAGGAGAGAAGGAGTTCGTGAACGTTGGCGGGTGTGCACTGAGGTGGTGATTTTACCGTTCTCGCCGCTCCCCGCCCCCGACCCCTCCCGGTGCAAGACAGAGGGACGGAGAGCACGGGCTTTGCATGCAGCCCTGGGTGGCCGTCCCGGCTCTGTCTCCATCCCCGCCTGGCACTTGTGACCACATTCCCCCCATGGCATGAGCCATAAAGATGGCCTGGCAGGGTGGCTGTGGAGACAGAAATGGGCTCCCGCCTGCGAAGCGCCACACTATATGCGGTCGGCGCTCAGGAGCGGGGCGGTTAGTGGAGCTGCTGAGGCAGGTGGTGTCCCGGGCCTGGGCCGGGGGACTAGGGCGGGCGTTGCTCTCGGGGCAGGTTAGGATGTGCCTTCCTGAGTCACGGCTGCCTGGCTCCTGCAGCTCGGGAAGTGCGAGCTCTGGCCCAAGTGCGGGGCAGAGGGGCCAGGGCCAGCCCCGCCTCTCACCCCTTCTGAGGGCTCCAGGGGACACTGCCTTCTCTGGGGCGCACCCTCCTGCCCGCTGGGTCCTGGCAGCAGGGGGGGGATGGGGGCATCCTGTGATCGGAGCCCCACGAGCTGGAAGAAGGAGTTGGCTGTCTTCCTCCTGCTCGGGCGGGAGTCCGGCAGGTGGGGAATGGCCAGGAGAAAGGGGTTTGGCCCCCAGGCTGACTCCACAGGCAGGACCCCAGGGTCTCCACCAGCTCTGCCCGAACCCACAGAACCCCGCCGGCTCCTGCTCTTGCGGACGAGATGAGGCGAGGACATAACTGAGTGTCTAGGAAACGCCTCGACCCCTCGGACTCAGACCTGTGGCTTATGCACAGGGAAAGCTGCCGGTGACTGAGTGCGGGCGGTGAGACCAAGGGCTGGGGATTCTGGGGGTGCCGAGCAGGGGGACAGCTATGCCACGTGGTCTCTGCTAACACACTGCCCTAATAGACGTTCACAGGGGTCTGAGGGGGGTGCTGAGGACTGCCGCTCTCACCTGGACTGCCTCGTGGCCCAGAGGAGCCCACCGGGGAGAGGCAGAGATCTTACAGATCCACCGGGGACTCTGGCTTCCGGAACGAAAGCACAGACCTTGTCTGTCTGTTCACAGCTGTCTCCTCAGCACTGAGAGCTGTGCCTACCGCAGAGCTGGCTCTGTCAGTATTGCTGAATGCCTGGGTGGATGGATGGATGGATGGATGCAGGGATGGATGGATGGATGGATGGATGGATGGTTGCAGGGATGCAGGGATGGATGGATGGATGGATGCAGGGATGGATGGATGGATGGATGGATGGATGGATGGATGCAGGGATGGATGGATGGATGGATGGATGGATGGATGCAGGGATGCAGGGATGCAGGGATGGATGCAGGGATGCAGGGATGGATGGATGGATGGATGCAGGGATGGATGGATGGATAAATGGCTGGACAGATGGCTGGACAAATGGCTGGCTGGCTGGACAGATAGATAAATGAACATTGGTCACAGAGAAGCCATGAAAAGCACATGAAAGAAGCCAGACTGAAAATGCTACATGCTGTGGGATTCCTTTCCCAGAGTATCTGATGCTCTGGGAAAGAAAAAACCACAGGAACCATACACATATCAGTGGCCACCAGAGCTGGGAGCGGGAGGGATGAACGGGTGGGGCACGGAGGCTTGTCAGGGCAGTGAAACTACTGTGTGAGGCTACAACGGTGGTCCATGTCATTATACATTCCTCCAAACCCACCGACGGTACAGCACCAAGAGCGAACCCCGGTGCCAACTGTGGACTTCGGGTGACGATGGCATGAAAGTGTAGGTTCCTTCATTCTAATAAATGTGCCACTTGTGCGGGGCGGGGCGGGGGGGGGGGGGGGGGGGGGGGGGGCGGAGGTATATGGGAAATCTCTGTGGAGGCATTTCCCCGGACACTGTGAACCTAAAACATAAATTCTATTTAAGAAAAAAGAGAAACAAACAGAGCAGGCCTGCATGCTGCTTTGAGGAGTCAGAGGCTCAGGGCTATGAGTCAAATGATGGGAACTTACCAAGGCTTGATCCCCAAGTGCATCCATCAGTGCCACCCAGTCCGGGCATGCCCTGACCCCTGCCACCCAGTCCGGGCATGCCCTGACCCCTGCCACCCAGTCCGGGCATGCCCTGACCCCTGCCACCCAGTCCGGGCATGCCCTGACCCCTGCCACCCAGTCCGGGCATGCCCTGACCTCTGGGGAGCCGTCTCCACGTGCATGCTCCCGCGATGGAGAGCTCGCTGCTGTACCGGCAGCTCAGTCTCGGGACAGTTGCCCTGTTATAAAGTTCTTTAGCCTCAGCCTGTTTTACTCAGTGGATAGACCACCAGCCTGGGGACTAGAAGGTCCCGAGTTCAATTCCAGCCCAAGGCACATGCCCAGGTTGTGGGCTCCATCCTCCCTCTCCCAGTAGGGGGTGTGCAGGAGGCAACCAATCAATGATTCTCTCTCATCATTAATGTTTCTATCTCTCTATCTCTCTCCCTTCCTCCCTGAAATCAATGATATATATATATATATATACCAATTTGTGCACAGTGGAGTCCCTCAGCCTGGCCTGTGGGATCGGGCCAAAAGCAGCTGTCTGACATTCCCCAAAGGGCCCCAGATTGTGAGAGGGCACAAGTCAGGCAGAGATACTCCACCGGTGCACGATTGGGTGGGGAGAGTTGCTGGAGGTTGGCCAGCCGGGGAGGGACTGTGGGAGGGCTCCAGGGTGTGTCCGCCCCATCTTGCTCAATCCCAATTGGCCGGACCCCAGCAGTAAGCTAACCAACCAGTCGGAGTGTCTGCCCCTTACTGGTCAGTGCACATCATAGTGAGCGGTTGAGTGGCCTTAACATATCATTAGCATATCACGCTTTGATTGGTTGAATGGACGACCGGACGACTGGGCACTTAGAATATTGGGCTTTTATTATATAGGATATTTTAAAAAGTTCTTTAGGCTGAAGCTAAACTCTCCCACAGAACAATGGTCACATTCTGTTTCTTGGGGTTGGACTGATGATTCTAATCTTTACTGGTGCTCTCTGAGCTCAATATCTAAACCTCTTTCATCAAAACACCCTTTCCAGAACAAACCCAAGGGGTCAGGCCTTCCTTTGGCTCTGTCATCAAAGGGGGATCTTAATGGTTCTGGAGGCAGAAAAATGTGAGCCCTTCCCCCCGCCCCCGCCCCCCCTCTCCCCTTCCAGCCCTCTCTCCCCGCCCCCGCCAAAAAAAAAAAAAAGACTAACACAGGCTCTGGGCTCAAATTCTGACCGTTTACTGGCTAGAGTCGCTCTCTGAGCCGCAGTTTTCCCAGCTGCACAGGCCCCCCCTTCCCACCTCTGAGGCCCGGCGGGGTTAGCTCAGACGGGGCAGGTGCAGAGGCCAGGCTCACGGTGGGTGCGCCCCTCGCAGACGGGTGGCCTTCGGGGTCAGGAAAAGGGCCTGGGACTCTCAGAGGCGCTGTCTCTGCCCCACGGAGGGAGGAGGGGGGGGGGGTCACTGCGGCTTGGGGGTTCCCGGGGCCATGCACCCATGAGTGGTGCCAGCAGGAGCCACACACACTTCTCCACAGGCTCCAACTTCCCTCCTGCCCACCCCCACTGCCGTGGGCCTGTCTGACCTCTCTTGCCTCTCTGGCCATTGGGGTGCTGTGAGATGGGGTGCAGAGAACTGGTACCAGACCCCAACCCACACCCACACGCCTCGTGGGCGACCTCTGGCCAGTCACGTTGCTTCTCTGAGCCGTGGGGGCCCCTCTGAGCACCAGCAGTCTGTGAGGACCTCCCTGGGGTGGGGTGCTCTGTAGCGTGTGGGGGGCTGGGGCAGCCCCGTGGCTTCTGTGTGTGTGATGGTGCTGCTTGTACCCATGACGCCACGTCCCCTCCTCTTTCCTGCGGGGTCCCCGAGGGAGCGTGCTCCAGGCGGCGTGGCCTGATGGGGAAAGACCGGTCATTTCCAAACGGTGTGTGCCCTGGAGATCGGTCCTCCGCACAGACGCCAGGCCCTCCCCTGGGACCCTGGCTTGCGGTCTGGGTGCCCGAAGACTTGCTAACATGCGCAGGGATTTCAGAGCGGGGGGCCTCCCTCCACATTTTGGGGCCAGCTGCTTTAGCAAAGGGCTTTCAGAGGGAAGCAAGCTCAGACCCTGCCTCTGCCCTGGACCGAATGCCACCCTCCCTGGTCCCTCCTCTTAGTCCCCACAGCCAAGCGATTTGGGGTCCCCAGGCCCTGGCCCAGACATTCCATCGCTGCCCCTCCCAGCTCGTCTCAGGACTGACAGACCCCCTCTCCCTGAGCACACAGGTCCCCGCAGCTCCCGCCCCAGCTCCAGCGGAGATGCCCTCGGGTCTCAGGGTTCTGAGAAGCATCCCAGTGTGTCCCGCCTCCCCCATCCAACCGGAAGTCCCTGCAGGGAAAAGACAGAGCCAGCCCAGAGCGTGGCTGCCCACGGCGCATCTCGAACACACCGGCAGGGTGCCCCCCGCCATGCA